AGGACTCGTTGTTACTAATGCTAATTTTATACCCTTTCGTTCAGGAAGATCATCTTCCCTTATAGCTTGATGGGTGTGTGAAATCCATGTCCTTTCGTCTTGCATTAACCATTGTGGTCCTTCCCACCATAGCGCCGAGTTAATAATAACTCGTGCGTTAATTCCTCTTGAGATAATGTCCGCTGGATTGTCCTTGGTTCTTACATAATTCCACTGTCTCGCATCCGTAAGTTCTAGTATCTGAATTACTCGATTAGCTATAAAGGTTTTAAGACAACTAGCTTGACAGTTTAACCATCCCAACACTATCGTCGAATCCGTCCACAGACGACAAGATCGGCAATCAATATTCCAAGCTTCCGTGACCTTACTGATCAACTGAGCTAGACACAATGCTCCATTCAACTCCAGTCTCGGTATCGTGGAGCCCTTCAGAGGTGCAACTCGACTTTTAGCACATAACAAACGAGCATTCCATGTGTTGTCTTGCCCAACTGATCGAATATACACGCAAGCACCGTATGCCTCCTGTGATGCATCACAGAACCCATGTACTTCGAACCGTGGATTTCCAGTGCTTATCACACCTCTAGGAATGGATAATTGTTTTAATTCTTCAAGTTCCTTGTAGTAATTACTCCACTTCTCCTGTATTTCATTGGATAATACTGCGTCCCAATCCGCCTTAAGTTGCCACAACTGTTGTAAAAATATCTTCCCTTTTATCAACACTGGCGTGAGGAATCCTAACGGGTCAAACACTCGATTCAGGTCTGATAATAATATACGTTTTGTTAGTTGGCGCCTCTCCTTGTTTTTTGAGATATTAAATCGAAACTCGTCGGCAACCGGTTTCCAACAAAGTCCAAGGGACTTAACAGTGTCTTCCTTGTCGATTTCTAACGAAAAGAATGGATCATCATTCCCTTTTCCAAATTGTTCTCTTATATAACTAGAGTTCGAGCACCATTTTCGAAGTGGTAATTTCGCGGACTCGAGAATGTTGGCTATCTCGCGATGCAGCCTCAAACAGCCTTCCTCTGTTTCAGATCCTGTCATCAGGTCGTCCATGTAGAAGTCTTTTCTTATCGATTTAGATGCCAGGGGGTACTCCTTTTCAAATTCATCCGCTAATGCTACTAAGCATTGAGTCGCCATAAAAGACGCAGGAGCAGTACCATAAGTGATCCTCAACAATCTGTAAGATCGCAATTCGTCGCTAGGCCTTGAGCGCCACACTATTCGTTGTAGATCGCAATCTTCTGGGGCAATCTTGATTTGCCTATACATCTTTTCCACATCTGCCATTAGGACATACCGATGCTTCCGTAAGCGGCTAAGTATCGCAAAAATATCGTCTTGCACTGTGGGTCCACGTACCAATATATCATTCAACGATCGTCCATTAGTACCTCTAGCAGACGCATCGAACACGACTCTGACCTTAGTAGTAATGCTGGCTGTTTTTACCACTGCATGATGCGGTAAATAACAAACGCTTTTGGGTAACTCAGATTCGTTTACTACTTCCTCCATGTGGCCCATGTCTAAATATTCCTTCATGAATTTAACGTATTCTACGCGCAATGCTTCGTCACGTTGTAACTTTTGTTCTACGTTCAGGAACCTAGATCTCGCCATCTTAATACTATTTCCTATGCTTCCAACCTCACTTTTTATAGGTAAACGTAGTATAAATCGACCATCTACATCTCGTTTAGCTGTCGAAGCAAAGTGTCGCCGCGCCTGTTCTTCTTCCAACGCTTTTTTGTTCCCCTTGGAACTACGCCCATATGCATGTTCATCCTTGGATTGTATGGCCATCCAATCTTCTTCTAACTCTTCACCAATAGATACTGCTGACGTCAAACAAGAAACACCAAGTTGGCCAGTTACTACCCATCCGAATTTGGTACTCTGTAAATATAATGAACTTGTTGCTAATTGAACTCGTTCGCTTTCTAATAGATCAAAAAATGCACCTCCACCGATGAGTAGATCTATTGATCCTGCTTTGGCAAATCCAGGATCTGCCAAATCGCTCGCTAAGCTCTCTGGTATTTGCCAACCATTTACCGGGGTCGTTACTGCCGGAAGGGAACCCACAATAACTGGTAACACGTAACATGAAATCTGTAAGCTAAAGTTGGTAATTCTGGATTTCAAATTAACCTCTACACAAGACCTCGCCTGCACTTGGCTCGCTCCAATCCCATTTATTGGCAACATAGCCTCTTTAGTAGCCAACTGCAACTTGTTAGATAGCCTTTTTGAGATAAAGTTCACCTGCGAACCGCTATCTAATACCATGCGGCAATTCCTATAGATACCACAACTATCTTTCGCTAATATCGACGCGGTTGCTAAAAACACATGCCCCTGGGTCGTCTTGGCAGCCATAGACACCGTCGGCACCTCGTGCGGTTCCGCTGCAGTGTTCTCTTTCGCGATCACCGTTGCTGGTATACCTGTTTTCTCCATATGCAGCAAGGTGTTATGCCTTCTTCTACACGTGAAACAACTGTATTTGGATTTACATTTATCTGACATGTGATTTGGAGAAAAACAATTGAAGCACAATCTAGCCTTCCGCGCGACTGTCAGTCGTTCCTGAATCTGGAGCTTCTTGAATGCCTCACAGTGGTACAATCTATGCAGGCCTGCACAATGAACACAACTCTCACGACTATCATGTTCGGTCACTAACGCCATCTTCCTAACGTTACTGCTCGACACGTGCTTTTTTAAACCAGACCCACTATTGATTTCGGTATCTTTTTGTTGTGCATTCCAAGCACCTGACCCTTCGAAAGCTACACATCGATTTGCTAAAAACTTTTCGATTGCTGAATATTTAGGCAATTGTGTGTCACTTTGTTGGAGCTGCCATTCATGCAGCGTACATTTATCCAAATGACGTAATATTATTGTGATGAGCCACGCGTCCCAGTGCTCCACTGGTTGCCCTAATGCCTTTAACGCAGCTACATGTGAGCTGACGTGCGAATGCAATTTTTGAAGCGATCCCGTTGTCGCTATTTCTACGCGAGGACTATCAAGAAGCGCTCTGATATGCGTTTGAATCACTAAGCTTCGGTTATCATAACGTTGCTTAAGTCGTTGCAGTACTACTTCGTAATTATTATCGGTCATAGGAATCGAACTCACAATATCTAAGGCTGGACCACGTAGACAAGATCGCAAATAGTATAGCTTGTGTGCTAGTGATATTGAGTCATCTTTATGTACTAACGCTTGAAATACATCATAAAATGACTCCCAGGCCTCGATATTACCTTTAAACTCAGGAAGCGGTATGGGCGGCAATCTTGACCAATTTCCACCACTCGTAGACCCGAAAGAATGATTGTGGCCTACGGTACTTGCCTGTTTTTGAACATTTATTATTTCCTGCATTTGAGCTCTGGCGTCAAAATAATCCTTCTCGAACATGTCACGTTCTTGGTCTTCTTTTTCAGGTTCTTCTGCGATCATCTCAATCTCGCATTGTATAACGTCGAATTTTTTACTAATTTGTGGCAATTCCTCTTGTCGGAATTCCAGCAACGCTATCGATTGCACAGCTGGATCAAAGTCGCTGGTGAATTTGCGCAATCGAGTCAGCGAGGCCTTAACAACACCCCGTTTCCTCCTCAGCACTAACAACTGTTTTACATTGTCATCATCTAACGCCATGCTTACTACCTATATTACTTATTTGTTAGATAATCTACGTTCCAACAACCTTTCACGAACAATAAGAATTTAAACTATCACGTCGAGGTCACCAATGTTTCGGGCCGAGAGCGAACAATATTAGTACACGTACTCGGACACCAAATCCTTTAACAACGTCACTAACACCTAGGAACCTATACTACAGAACAGCTGCGAGTTTTTTGTAGTTCATACAGCAGTGGTCAGGGTCGCCGAGCAAACACTGTAGAACTACGTGGTGCGTGTTCTGAAATATGTGTGTTAATGTGTGAAACGTGTGTGCGGTTGGACGGACTAACAAACAAATAACTAGATCGAATTTGATGGTAACTAAATTATTTTATTACAGTAAAAATATAGGTTAATTTAAAAATCAAGCCGGCCCATCAAATAACAAAATAATAAACAAGGGTATATAATCACAGCAACATTACGGTATAACAATATAATGATAATAATAAACAATAAAAAACTCACTGATATGGCGGTGCGTGGCTGGCCAGCTGCTACCTGTGCCTGTATAATTGATAATACACAAAACTAATAATTTATACACAATATTAATAATTGATACACAATATAATATATTAAGCTGGCGCTTTGCACCACGACAAAATACAATATAATTATTACTGGCGATTAGCGCCTTACAAAAAACAATATAATTATTACTGGCGATTAGTGCCTTACAAAAAACAATATAATTATTGGCGATTCGCGCCTTACACAGAAAACAATATTACTCACTGGCGATTCGCGCCTGGTAATAATAATAATAAAAACACGGTGATTTGCGCACGAACGAATCACTCGTTCCGTATAGACACTACGGAGCGGACTGCTGGACTCCGGCGCCTGTAGTGGGTCTTCGCGTCGACGACCGCTCGCGAATAATCTACGTGTTACGTAATTTAGATAACAAAAGCTAATACAAAAATAAAAGATAGTGATATGTGTTCAGCTGTTCTGTAGTATTGCTGATACCTACTTACGATATTTAAATTAAAATGATCCGGATAATTAAATCATTCTGCGGCGGAAACAGTAGTAGAAAATTAGTCTTCCTCATACTAATTCTATAAAAACATAATAAAAACAAATAAAATATTGTATGGTAGTATAACATTAGTCTTCCTCAGACTAGTTCCATAAAAACATAATACAAATAAGTAAAATACTGTTTGCTAATAGAACATTAAACTTCCTCAGACTAACTTTAGAACTTCAGTCTTAGTTAATTTTTAAAATGCAGTCTTCTTGACATAACTCACATTCAAAATATTTTACTCCAAAACCAATACCTGCACAGGCTGTGTGCGCCCATTTTTTACAGAAATTACAACGTATTCATGTCTCATTAGATTTGGTTTGTATAAATCATTACAATAAAGACAAGCAACTTCTTCTTCATCATTATCATCATCACTTTCACTTTGAACACCGTCACCCTTTTCAGTTGGAAGATCTAAAAATAATTTGCGGTTTACTGGTCTTTTTGATTTTCTAATTACTTTTTCTTCTTGTTTCTTTTTTGTATTCTTAATAGGTGGATTCTTGATAACTGCATGAGTGTTTTTAGATTTGATTTTCATAGACTTTTTTAATTCTTTAGCTTTCTTCTCATTTTGTTTTTCTTTTAATTGTTTTATGAGTGGGCTTTTTGTAAGCACTTGAGTTCCTGTAGATCTATTTTTATTTGATTTTCTGGGGCCAGTAAAGGAACAGCTAGGCAAAGGTGAAATTGTTCGTATTATTTGAGAAATATTTTCAGTATTTAGGTTTGTTTCTGTGTTAAAACAACTAGGCATCGGTGAAAGTAATGATGATGAAGTCTGGAAATTCGTATCTATGTCTGCAACAGTCACATTATTCATATTATCATCAGTATCTTCAGTACTTGGAAAAATTACTTAATTTTGTTCCTCAGAAAGTATATTTGTATCATTGGTATTTTCTTCAAAATTCAAATTATTTGTTGTCAAACTTGGAGCAAATAAATGATCTGGAAAGATATCTGGGTTGTAAGGATTTAAACCACAGGCTTGAAATGATGACAACATATTCTTCATTGTAACTGTTTTTACATAAGCACGACCAAAAATGTTAGATATTTGATAGAGTCCAACTGTTCTGCCTATATTAGCCTTTAACCAAATTTCTATTTCTTGGTTAAAATATACATCAAGAGGACCAAAAATACCAACATCCAAAGGTTGAAGTCGGTGTGTGCAATGAGGAGGTAGACAAAGTAAACAGCACCTGACTTTTTGGCAAGTTCAAGCGCTTCTACTGTTTTGTGACTTGAATGGCCATCTAGAAGTAATAACACTTTTTCTTCAATACTAGAATTAACATTCCTTATAAAATGGTTCATCCATTCAATAAATAATTCCCCAGTCATATAACCGGTGTCCTGATACATTTTGAAAGTACCAGGAGGTGCTCCATCGTACAAATTAGCGTTAAATGTTTTTCTGGGGAAAATGAGAGCAGGGGGTACACATTGACCAGATGAACCTATACAACAAACCACTGTAACATACTGTCCACGTTCAGCACTTGTTAACACACCTACTTGTTTTTTGCCCTTTTGAGCAAATATCTTTGATGGCTTTTGTACCGTTGTCAATGCAGATTCATCCATATTGTATATTTTGTCAACTGATATGTTTTCACTGCGTATAGTGTCAAAAAAAAGATTACACAAATTACACAATTTGTGTACCTGTGGCTTGTTAATAGCTTGTGCTCTGGCAGCTGATGTTGATTCTGGAGAACTTAATGATAGCTCACCCTGCTTCTCTCTTTTCTTTATTAAAGTTATGTGGAATATGAGCTTCTTTGGCAAAATCATAAGCCAATTTCTTTACTTCTTTGATAGTCATTCCAAAAAATCTAGACTCCAAGTTTAAGATGTGGTCAACCAGTTTTTTTTCTGCCATAGATGACAAACAACTTGGTCGACCAAGATGTTTTACTATTCCTTTTGCTATTTTATTTGTATTATGAAAACGACGACGAAGTGTAGATTGAGGTACATTGAATTGTTTTGAAGCTTTAAGCCATCCCATTTCTTTATTTTGTACAGCGAATATAGCTTTCTTCATACTTTCTTCCGACCATGTTTGTCGTTCAGATTTTCTTGCATAGTGGGACACCATTCTCAACTACAGTGAATAAATTAAAAAACAATTAATTATTATGATAATACCTATAAGCATAATAATCTATAATACCTATAATAAAATTAAAATATAAATAATATGTAAAAATGCACCATGGGTAAAATGACACACTGCTATGTCATTTTGCCTGATATCATACAAGTTTTTTCAAAGTTTTTATGGGAAAAGTATTATAATAGGCCTATTTATAAAACAATTGTAGTATAGCTTACCTTTTTATGTTCAACTTCTAGCAAAAAAAAATTGACGGAACATAAAAATTTGTATTTTTGAATGAATTTTTAAAAATGATTAAAAAAAAAGTTGATAAGACACAAAACACATTTTTATTTTTATTTTTATTTTATTTATTTATTTAACGCCAAACGGCAATTTATAGATACATTGTACAATTAGTAGATTAACATGAAGTGATAATAATGAAATAAAATACATGGAAAATATAGTTATAAATATAGACTTAAGTTTAAACTTATACTAAACAGCGTTGAGCTAAAAAGAGTACATGCTAAGGTAAAATAAAACTAAAACTAAAACTAAAGACAAAAACATTCAGTAGAGATAAACAATAATATAGTCAGCTGCAGATCAGGAGCTATTAAGTAGGCGGAGCATTCTATCTAATGGATTATTAAAGGAGTAATTAGTACGGTGAGATGAGACAAGGTATAAAGAGTGATTTCTAGTGAAATGCACAGGAACACGGAAAGAGATGGAGGACAGAAGGTTAGGGGCATCTATTGAGCCGTTAAGGAGGGAGGTGATGAATGAGAGGTCAGCATCGACACGACGAGATGCGAGAGTAGGGATATTTAAGGAAGTTCTAACTGATAGGTAATCATGGGGTGGGTGATCAATATTGAGTATAAAAGCGGCGTAGGAAAGGAAGCGGTTTTGGACACGCTCTAAACGTAATTGGTCCTTGCCTAGATACGGGTACCATACAACTGAGCCATATTCTAAGACAGAGCGGACAAGGGAAAAATAGAGGGAGCGAATACAAGTAGCGGACGTGAAAAGACTAGTGTTGCGCATTAAGAACCCCAGAATTTTTAACGCTCTACCAACAGTAACATCAATATGGTGTTCAAAGGAAAGAGAAGGAGTTAGATAGAACCAAGATCTTTGACAGTGGATACACGCTTGAGAGTAGAGCCATTAAGGGAATAAGGATGGATTATGCAAGTACGTTTTCTATGAAATGTCATAACATGACACTTGTTGAGGTTGAGCGTTAGGCCAATACGCTGGGCCCAGACAGAGAAAGTATTGAGATCTGATTGAAGTTGAAGACTGTCAGACGGAGATGTAATTTTTGAGAAAAATTTAATATCATCGGCAAACAGAAGAACTTTAGAGGAAGAAATGTACCTGTTAATTGAGTTAACGAAAAGGATGAACAGAAGAGGACTGAGATGCCCTCCTTGGGGGACCCCAGAGGGAGTAATAAATAAGTCAGAGTCAACGCCGTGAACTCTTACGAATTGCTTTCTTTAACTTAAATATGATTGGAGCCATGAGGGTAAAGGGTTACCGATACCAAGTGAATCCAATTCAGAGATAAGGCGGCTATGAATGACAGCGTCGAAGGCTTTATTAAAGTCCGTGAACACAGCATCAACTTGACAATCAGATTCAAAGCTTTTTAATATATAAGATGTGTAAGATAGGCTGCAAGTGACAGTAGATGGGAACACTACGGAAACCATGCTGCTCATCCATTAGAATATGGTTAAGACTTCTTTTGATTGAGGAGTAGACGATGGACTCAAACAGTTTAGAAATGTGTGGTAGGATGGAAATAGGCCTGTAATTAGAAACGAGCGAGGGATCTCCAGATTTAAAGACAGGGGTGACAGAACATGTTTTCCAAGCAGCTGGAAAGATACCCTCATCAAGAGATAGCCTAAAGAGTAGGAATAGAGGATAAACAATAGAATCTTGACAATTAAAAAGTAAACGTGCTGAAATCCCGTCTGGGCCATTAGAATTATTGTTTTTTAAAGAGTTGAGTGCAAGTTGCACATCGTCGAGGGAGAAGTGACAATTAGAAGGAAGTTCATATGGAATAGTATTAATATTAGGAATATTGACGGGTGGAGAAATAGAGTTGTTATACATAGAATAAAAGTACTTAGAGAATTGGTTAGCCGACCCAAGAGGAGTATCAACCTTATCATTGTTCCAAAATAGAGTTTTAGGTATTGTGTTTTTCTGGTTTAAATTTTTAATAGATTTCCAGAATAGTGAGGGATTGCGATTGAACGAGTTTTCGGTATTTTTTATATAAGACTGGTAGTCTATTTTAGATTGGCGCTTGCATTTAGCACGAAGTTCGGAAAAAGCTGAGTAGTCATAGGGGGACCTCGAACACTTATAGAGTGCGTGAGCTCGCTTTTTCTCCATAATAAGATTTTTAAGAGAGGGAGATGTCCACGCAGGGAATTTTGGCAATTTAAATATTTTTGTAGGAACAAACTAATCGATAGCACGAAGTAAGGCTTCATTAAAAACAGAGGCTGCATCTTCGATTGTGTACTGTGAAAATGTTAACTCCCAATTAAAGGAGTTAATAAATTGCGCTATGGCAGTGTAGTTTGCAGCCTTAAAATCTTTATATGTATGAGTATTAACTACTGATTTGTCAGATTGTGAAGGAAGGACCACGTGAAGAGGTGGGTGGTAAGGATCAGGAATAACCAAATATTCCGTTGCTAAATTGACTGTAATTCTATTGCAGTTGGAAAAGACAAGATCTAAGATACTGCCATGATTATTGCGAAAGAAATTATGCTGGAAAAAATTAAGGTAAGAAAAAGAATCAATAATAGTTGTGGAAATTATGCTGGGATCATTAGTCCCGATTAATCCTAATTCATCAGAAGACCAGTTGATATTAGGGAGATTGTAATCACCACATATGACTAGGGCATTTGGTTTACAAGAGGAAATGATGTGTTCAACAGAAGTGGTATGGGATTCAACTACAGAAAGGGGGGATCGAGGGGGTAAGTATACACCTCCTACCAATAAGTGGCCAGAGTTTAGGGACAATAATACAAATACTTGTTCAACATTAGATACGGTTAGTGAAATAGGTTGAAAGGAACGGGTATTCTTGATAGCAATTAGAACTCCGCCACCTCGGGTAGAAGTGCTGTTATTATGGTTTCTATCAAGTCTTATTACTTGAAAGCCAGCGAAACCAAGTTCACTGTCACTAATTTTTGTTAACAAATTCTCCGATAAGGTCAAAACTTGTGGTCACTGTATACAATCATATGTAGGTGATTATAAGACACGTATTTAAAGCATCTTTGGTTCCTAAATATCAATAATTCTAATCAAAACATCAATGTGTCATATTACCCTAATATGTTATATTAAGCCAGTCTCTCCTATATAGCAATAAAAGTCATTGCCATTTGACTTTATTTTAAAACTGGTGTTGGTATCTTAGTATCTAAAGTATTGTATTTTGTGAGCAATATAATATACTATGTGATTGTCTCTATAATCTAATATTATTATAGGTTGACCGAAACATATGGTTGGGAAATTGGTTCAATTTTATCTTTTATACACTTTTTAGTTTCCGTTATGCTCGGTTTGTGTATAGTACAAACGTCGTGAAATAAAAGTGTAAGGTGTTAAAATTTGTAAGAACTTTTTTTGAATTTTTATATGCAATGAGAGGGAAATTTATCTTGATCCTCTTATAGTACATGTAGATTTCGAAAAGGCTGTGATTGAAGAATTAAAAATTACAATTGGAAACCATATTTGTATTAAAGGGCGCTTTTATCACCTTACTCAAAGCACACATAGAAAAATACAGAATCTTGGACTTGAAGATATGTATAGAAATAATAATGATTTTAGTATATTTTGTAGAAAACTCGATAGTTTAGTATTTTTACCAGAAAACAAAGTTTTAGAGGGAATGGATTTTTTAAGAACAATTATGCCACCGGAGGCAGCAGATTTAGTCGATTATTTTGATACCACGTATGTCCATGGGTCTTACAGAAGTGTTCAGCATAATCCGAATAAGACTATGACTATAGTAGTTTTCTACTAAGAAATAGACTATCAGACTTTGGAATATTGCACCGCTCTATCCACCATCAATATGGAATGTCTATAAAACTACCCTTGATAATGGACATCGAACTAACAACGAAATAGAAGGGTGGAACCATCGTTTTTCAAAATTAGTAGGCTACAATCATCCTTCTATTTGGTCATTAATTAAGAAAATGAGATTAGAGTTGTCTTCAGATGAAACAAAGTTAGCCCAATTCGTAATAGGCAATTTAAGAAAAAAAAAAAAAACTTATTAAAAAATGCAAGAAAAATTGTATAAAATATGTAGTGGTGACAACGGACAATAGACGAATATTTAACAGCTATTGCTTACACAAAACGATGATTTTAATTATTTATTATTTTATATTATATTTTTAAATTGTACATTTTAACTTTTATAGATTATATTAATTATTGTATTCAATTTTAACATTATTATATTATTATTTATTATAAAATGTACAAGTAATTATGTAGTTGAAAATTCATATGATACTTGATTTAAAATTCGTCTTTTTTATCGGTGGCTTTTTTATCCTGTGGATTTGTTATCCCATAGCTCTTTTGTCCATGGTTTTTTTATCGGTGGCTTTTTTATCCGGTTACCTGTCACGTTATGTGAAATCACACATTGTCATGTGAGCTCACGTGACAGGGAAAAAGTGCAGAGTGCCATTTTACATATTATTTGAATTCATCAGAAACACACTGTTATCACGTCATGCTTATCACGTCACGTTACCAAACTCATGAATGAAATCACGTCTCTATTTTCTGAAAGTTTGCACATTTGTGACTCACGTGACAACACGTAAACTACCTAGTGTTTTATACTATTTTGTTCAAAATTTAAAATTCGAAAATGGAAGAAATGCTCATTGAAAAGG